GGCACGTGGCCGCCTGCTGGGAGTCAAGCTCAAGTCGTGTGCGACCGTGAGACGTCTCAGACGTCAGGAAGAGGTGCCGCCTTTGAAGTCGATGTCATGAGGTCAGCTTGAGACAAAGCGCTGCGCTTACACAACATCCGGTGTTGCCATAATGGCGGCAGTCATAGTCTACTTGCGATCATCACATTGGCCTCCGACTCATGTACACCGGCTACTGCGATGAAAGGCATGGGCTACAGTTGCTTATTCGACCCTCGGCAGGAGCGAGACAAAGGATCCGTCCTGGCTGCTGCCATGGTCACGAATGGCAGATGTAAGGCGCAGGAGAACAGGAGCGCCTGCTGGACCACCGGGAACATGTACTGGTTCAGTTGCCTTTTGGCTCCTCACGCACATATACATACACCCTCGAAGCCATTATCGCCAGACTTCAGACCACTCAACTTACATATCGCTTCAGTCCACTCCATTATCAGACGCACCATACACCAGCCTTACTACGAGCCCTTCGCACGCACACACATCGACAGCCATGGCTGCCCTTATCCACGCTCACGTCATCGAGAAACGCACTCGCACTCCTCTGATCCACAGCTCGATGAGTGCTCACCGCAGTGGCCTCAAGCATTACGTGCGTGCTCTCAGGAAGTGTGAGTGTACGTCTTTGAACCTACGATGATGCCTGTGTTGATACGGGCGACAGACAACATCACTCCGACTGTGCCTGGTCCATACCACAAGGTGGTTCGCTTCGAGCAACACGACTCCCAGGCTCTCCTTACCACGACTGGCCAGCAGGTGGGAGGCAGAACTCATGTCGCCGGGCACATGTTGATGAAGATGGACGCTGAAAGTGGCGAGTCTGGCTACGTCCCGGTATGCTCTGTTCTTCGCTCTACATGTTGGTCTAGACTCATCAGTGGCTGACCTGCCCCAGGCCCAAGACGTCGAGAACAACGCCCTCTACCTCGCCCCGGTCGACATCGGCACGCCAGCCCAGACTTTCAATCTCGACTTCGATACCGGCTCCGCGGACCTATGGGTCTGGTCCGTCGAACTCCCCGCCGACGACAAGACGACCATCGAGGGCCACAACAAGCACAACATCTTCAGCCCGTCGAAGAGCTCTACCTGGAAAACCGCGGACGGCAGTACCTGGCAGATCACTTACGGCGACGGCAGCGCAGCAAGCGGCGACGTGGGCTACGACAACGTCACCATCGGCGGCCTGCTCATCAAGAACCAAGCCGTCGAGCTCGCGCAGAAGTTGAGCCCGGAGTTCGTCAAGGAGTCCGGTGACGGTCTCTGCGGCCTCGCATTCGGCGCGATCAACACCGTTTCGCCGCAGCGTGTGGCCACGCCGGTGGAGAACATGATCAAGCAGGACAACATCAAGAAGGACTCTGAGCTCTTCACCTGCTGGCTCGACAACACCGCCGGCAGCAGCTGGTACACCTTCGGGCACATCGACAAGACTGCTGTGAACAACATCGAGCCCTCGTACACCCCGGTCGACAACTCCAACGGCTTCTGGTCATTCCCGAGTGCGAGCGTAACGGTCAATGGGGACTCCATTGAGCGCACGGGCAATACTGCTATTGCTGATACGGGTACCACGCTTTGCATGGTCGACGACGCTACTTGCGAGGCTATCTATGGTGCCATTGATGGTGCTTATCAGGATCAGCAACAGCAGGGTATGGAGTCTCGTCAACACCGCGTCGACGTACAAGCTGGTCTGACTGTCTCATAGGCTGGGTCTTCCCAACCAACACTCCCCTCGACTCGCTCCCGGGAGTCGACTTCGCCGTCGGCGACACCCTCTTCTCCATCAACCCCGCCGACCTCGGATTCCAGGTACGCACATGACCCTCCCAACTCCACACCGATCCCCACCCCCCCCTTCTGACATGATCTGAACAGGACCTCGGCAACGGCTTCACCTACGGCGGCATCCAGTCCCGCGGCGACATGGCCTTTGACATCCTCGGCGACGTCTTCCTGCGCTCCGTCTACGCCATCTTCGACCAGGGCAACACGCGCTTCGGGTGCGTGCAGCGGCTGCCGTCGTCGGACAAGCAGGTGCATGCGGCCGCTTCAAGTGGTGCGTTGAGGGAGGGGCATGCCGTGGTGCATGTGGCGCGGTCGAGCGGCGGGCTGAGGGAGGAGCGGGCGGAGCGGGTGGTGAGGGCCAGCAGCTCGATGGACGAAGTCCATGTTCATGCCAAGATGTAGGGTCGAGGGTGGGACGGCGATGTCGCGAGGACTTGTCTTGGATCGGTGGACCTGGGGTGGGACGTGGAGTGCTGCGATTACCTACATTTACCTAGACTGTATATCCTACATCTAACTGGATGGATGCCTACAGTACCATGGCATGCTGATATTGTGCCGTCGACACTAGAATCCGTGCCGGCTTCAATACATGAGACTCGTATGCGAGTGGAGAGGCTTGAATTTGGCTCAGAGTAAGCTGTGAGATGTAGACCGTCCGTCATAGCGCAGCAACACTTCCACGTAATTACAAACCATCATAGCCTCATATCTCATCACCATCGCCTCCCCCAAGCGACGACGCCCACCCAGCATTGCTGCCTTGCCCCTCTAGTACAAGCACAAGCCGCCCTCATTATCATCCACGTGCCACACGCTCGCCAGACCCTGGACCTCGATCTTCGAGTTCCGCCGCTCATGGCGGCCCTGCTCGCGCCCTTTACTCAGCACCCTGCGCGCCCACGCATCCACCGCCGGCTCGCCCGTCTCATCCCTCGCCTGGCGCAAGAATGGGATCAACGCCGTACCGCCCGTGCCACGCAGATCCTTGCGAGCTTTCTCCGCAGGCTTACCCGCCGAGCTCTTCGATCGCAGAGGTAGATCCGGACGCGAGGGGCGGCGCTGCTCGCGCTCCTTCTCCCTCTCGCGCTCCTCCTTCTCCTTCGCCTTCTTGGCCTCCTGGCTCTTGATGATGATATACCGGCTGACCATCTGAATATGCTTGTCGCGGAACGCGCTCAGCATCGCCAGCGAGGCGTCGAAGGCCACGCTTAGCGCGCGGTCGGGCTTGTGCTGCTGTACGAAGGCGCGGATGTTGGCGACTTTCTCCACCGCGGCTAGGAAGCGGGCGTGGGGGCCAGGCATGTACTTCCGCATCTCGTGAATGAAGCTCGGCTCGGGAGCGGAGGGCTTCTTGACGCCGTGGTCGTGGTAGGTATCGGACTTGGGCGTGCCGGTGGGCCGGTGCTTGACGCCGAGCGCGACGTCGAAGAACTGGATCAGGCTGGACTGGGCGTTACTGCCGCCGCTGTGTTGGACGTAGCGCTGCTTGTTCATCGGCCCGCCGTTGTCGAAGACGACGCCATTGGGGAGGCCCGCGTCGGCCATGTTCTTGCTGCCGGCGAGGAAGGGGCGGATGCGATGGTAGAAGATGTGCGGATCGCAGTTGTCGTACATGCGCTGCAGCATGCCGCCGAGCTCGTCCAGACGCTCGGCAAAGGTCCGGAGGCATTCGGCTACGGTCGGCCGGTCGCCGCGGTCTGCTGCCTCGATTGCCCGGAGCATGAGTGGGATGAGCGGTGCGCCGCGGGCTTCGATTGCTGCGCTGATGAGGTAGAACCATTTCTCATCCAGTGAACCAGTGAAGGTGTCGATCATGTCCAGGTTCGCGAGCGTATCAATGCGCTCGTCCTCGAAAATGGGCTTCCAATTCCACAGCACCAGCCCGGCGTATGTGGCAACGGGCGGCAATTCTAGGTGCTTGCATGTCGCCTGGAACGGGATAGTCACCGGCGGCGGCACCCACTCGGCAGGCTTCTTGCCGCCCCAGATATATGCGTGCGCGATGAAAGCCAGCACGCTGTATGCCCTGCGCCACTGCGGCAAGCCATCCAGTCTATCCGTCGACAAGATCGGAAGCTTGTCCACGACCCCGTGCAGCCTCCCACTCAAGATCAAGCCCTGCAGATTCTTCACCACGTGCTCCCAGGGTTCGTAGTAGGGATCGGACAGTGCTTGAAGCGGCGGCTCCGCGGAGAGGAAGCCATTGGAGGGTGAGACGTCGAAGTCCTCGGGGTTCGGGATGGGAGCCATATAGTGTATTGCTGCCAGACGCAGGCTTGCGACGCCGGAGACGGGAGTCTTCGCGCAACGCTGCAAGCCCAGCCGTAGGGAGTCCTGGAGAGAGGCTCACGTGCCTGTGAGATTTGGCGATGGCGTGAGGTGATTGTTTAGGCCGAGAGCTATGCTGTCGGGCACTAATCAAGCCAAGCTAGCGGTGCTTCTCCCGAGAGAATCTGTCCGGATGAGCGGGCTGATGGATGTCGTGGGTGTCAAAGGCCTGTATGAGATGGAGGTAGTGTAGGTGTAGCAATTGAGTGTGGGAAGAACGGAAGGATGTATAGGTGGTGTCGTCAGGGAATAAGCCGTGGTCTCGTGTCTATCGGCAGAGTCCGGATGACGGGCTGCGAGCTGTGCGTGGTGATGATGAGGTGCTCTGCTCTGTCAACGCTGATTGAAAATCAACGAAGTGGTGAGAAGGGACACTCCACTACTTGCCCTTGCTAACTCCGCTGTCGGCGGACCGGATGATGAGCTCTCGGACAGCCGTTTCGCCTCCCGCCATCACATCACTACCGGTCGTCTGGACAGTGGACATACGGAGATTCTTCAATGTCACTTAACGATGGTGTGACCGGTGTGATGTGCTGCGTCTAACGCTCATTGTTGACGCTGTGAGACCGGATCTACGGATCTACGGTGCAGCTGCCCCCACGCCGTCGCCACCAAAAGTGACGCATATTAGGTGTGTACATATAGCGATGCACAATCGTGACGATTTGGTTGACAGCGGCGATATGGTACACGACAAGGAGTAGATGTAGCCGCGTGCGCTACCGTACCTCATCAGCCTTTACGTATCCGTGTGCGCCCGCTACTTCCAATTCTGGCCGGACCGAGCTGTGTCGCATGCGCAAAAAGTGTAGCATATGCGCAAAAGAAAGTGTTGAACAGAGGGGGATTCGAACCCCCGCGGGCAAAGCCCATGAGAATGCTCTCGACTGGGTCGAGCAAGCAACAACTTGAGTCACACGCCATAACCACTCGGCCATCTGTCCCTCGATCGGACGGTCAAGAAACCGCACAGATCATCCACCAATCTGGCCAATTGTGTATATGATGAACCAAAATCTATCACCTGTGCTGGCCGTCGTCTGCTAGAACAAAGTCGTGACTATCACTAGCACAGCAGGACGTTGACCCCTAGTCTCACAGCCGCGCAGCTGGGGTAGGGGGATAACGATGCGAGCGAGAAGGTGATGAGGAGTTCAAACTCAATATCGCCCTCATCTTGCGCAGCAAAGACTCCCCTCGACGACTGCCTCCCAGAAGCAGTAACCCGAAGTTGTCGTGCGGTGTCCAAGGACGATCCCATACTTGACGACGGCTCAGTCAGTTGGCCTGACAGTACCCGAGCGGCTTGGAAGACTGCAGCGGTAATCTCGGGGCGCCGGCCAAAATTCTCGCCATCCTCGCCGACGGCTCGACGCTGTACAGCAGGCCCGTGTGATTGTCGTGAGCGTCGTGAGATCGCAATCAGAGCTGTTTGCATCCGAAGCGCACCATCGCACCCGACTTTGGGAGCATCGAATGCCATTACAATGCAGCCTGAGATCTAGGTCGTCACACAAGCATAATATGGCCAGGCAAAAGGCTATCGATCGTTGGATGCAGAACGTAGCATTCGGCCAACCGCGGATGATGGGTGCGTTGCGTGGTGTGTCTCATGACCATTCCCGATGATCATAGGCCTGCTGCGCATGGGGATGAGTCGTCCAGGCTTTGGTGCGGAGCTCCATCATTCGGGTCGGGTAGGGAGTGAGCTTTTCCCATCCATGGAGATTCATCGCTGCTCTTTCAATGGCCGACGAAAAGTTACCACCATCGCCATACTTTGCGTGGCTTACTCGGCTATGCCCGCCTAGACTTGCGCAAGCCTCCGAACTGCCACGGCCGCCGCGCCCACTCGTTGGCCTTCCGAGCCGCGGGCCTGGCCATCAGAATAGCGAGCGTCATGCCCATGACCGGAGACGCGATCCACCAGAAGAAGGTATCGCTGTGCTCCTGCACGACCGGCATAGGGTCGAAGTTCATGCCGAAGTAGCCCGTCAAGAATGTCAGCGGGAGGAAGAAGATGGAGACGATGGTCAGCTGGCGCACGCTCTCGTTCTGCTTGGCGGCGATGGTGTTGAAGATGAGCGAGGTCAGGTTCTCCGCGGATCGGATCCGCATGCGCGTGCTGGAGGTCAGGGTGGTGATGTGGTCCTGGACGTCTTTGAGATAGGCTCGTGTCAGAGGCGATAGTGCTCGAAGCGCAAAGTCGACGGATGATGGGGTGGTCGACGAAGACGTGTTGGGCGTTGCACTGGCGCGAGGATGCTCGGGTAGATCGTGATGGTCGTGGAGCGCCCTCACGAGACTGGAGATGGGGACGAGGAGGTCCAGAAAGGACGCGACTCCAGCCCGCAGCACATAGACCTGCCGTGAGAGTACGATCGACGGTCTCGTGAGGACGGCCAGTTCCAGCTCGGTGAAGGCATCCTCGAATGCTCTGTCCAAAGGTGCGGAAAGGTCGACTGTGGCGTCAATGACGCCCTGCACAAGCATGGAAGGGTCCTCGCTCGAGCGGAGGATGGTATGCGATGACTGCAGGCGAGCGAAGATCGGCTTGAAGATGTCCTCGCCGGAATGCTCGAAGATGGTGATGATGGTGTTGTCGCGAGTCTGGAACAGCGACACCTGCTCGACGGACATGTCGAAGGACTGGTAGACGTGCCGACCAGGCTTGTCTAGATGGCGCGCCATGTCTTCCGCCCCCATGCCATTGGCCGTGTACTTGAAACGTTTCTTGGGGGGACTGGGCGTGTCGTCTCGCGGAGTCCGTCCTACCTCGACCACGTCGACCAGCCTTTGGAGCGTCATCTCCAGAAAGTAATGGCCATCGTACCAGTCAATCTTCGCCAGATTGTCTGTGTTCATGACGTCCTCGAGTGTGAGCGGATGGAGGCCGTAAGCGTGGCCGAGAGTCCGCACGACCTCTACATCGATACCGTTGACGTAGAGCCAGCGGCAAGTCGCCCACCCCGGTTTGCCATTCGACTGGAGATAGCTTTGCAGATCTGACGCCTGCACGTCCTGTCGCTCGAAGCGCTGGGCTGAGTAATCGATGACGCGAATCTCAACAGCACTCCCGTCGGATCCTTTGGGACTTGAAGCGGCCTTGCTGGGTCCGTTGTCGAGCCTCAAGCCGGGCTCGGCGTCGGCAGCTACTGCCCAGTTGTCGCCGCGGTTGTTGCAGCGGAGATGACTGGTAGAATAGGGCGAAGACTTGGATGACGGGTCTCTACCCTGAGTTCTGAAGATGCGACCAATGGGCCTCGTGTGCCGTTGCTGGACTTGTGCGATGCGCCATGGGTGGGTCTTGATCGAGAGCTTGCGAGATCCTCGTAAGCCTACCGCAGACAGTACAGTGCTGGTCCATCGATAGGAGGTGATCATGGTCTGGGGTTTGTCGTCTTCTTCATGACATGAGTTGCGATGGCGGGCAGCGATCGACCGGTGTTGGGTTGCCCAATAGCACGGCAGCGGGAGCAGCCGGAAGTTAACCACCTCACCTGCAGAACCCTGGGCCATGCAGGTGAATGATAGCTCTAAGAATATGAGGCTGAAGACGACGCCACTGATGAATCGAGCCTTGCTGTCATTCTCCCTCTTACTTGTGCCTACTTAACACGCACACATCAATCGCCGCCTAGCTATCATCAATCGTGCGATCTGGATTGGACGTCCATTCATCGAGAGTGCTTGGAAATTACGACCATTCCGCGACAACGAGCCTCTGGCGCACTCGCAACCCAAGTCTTGCGCCGGACTCAGCCAGAGCAGGGCTCCTTCGTACCAAGGCTCCTGGACCAGTGCCGATACCGCGGACACATCTGGATCAAAGCCGCCCAGGATGTGATCGTATCGCGAGCTGCGCCACAACATCATGCGGCTCATAAACGTCGACACGTTCACGCTGCAGGAGTTCGCAGGAAGTGGGTCTGCGCCTCCGTACGCCATCCTATCCCACACCTGGGGCGAGAACGAAGTGTCTTATCAGGATATTCAGAACCTGGAACTCGCTCAGAGCAGAGAAGGCTTTCGCAAGATACGCTTTGCATGTTCGCAAGCCAAAGACCATGGATTTGCATATGCCTGGGTGGACACTTGCTGCATAGGTGAGATTGAGCTTGCCTGCCAGATGTAAGGCTGTCCTCCGGGCTGAAATGGTCATGTCGCAGACAAGAGCAGCAGTCATGAGCTCTCGGAGGCTATCAATTCAGTAAGAACCCAACCCTTTAGCCTGCTATCCTTGGACCACTCGCTGACGCTATTACTCGAAAGATGTATGTTCACACCATATACCTACGCACTGCTCTAACCCGCCCGTAGGTACCGTTGGTATATGAATGCGGCAGTCTGCTATGTCTACCTTTCCGATGTACCTAGCAACTGTCCGACCTTGGACGATGGTTACTTGCATCCGTTCCATTTCTCATGGATCGAAGCTTTCGAAGAGAGCAGATGGTTCAGGAGAGGATGGACTTTACAAGAACTGACGGCCCCAGCCAAAGATCTACTGTTCTTTGGCTGCGCGTGGAACTACATTGGTAGTCTGGAGAGCCTCATTGAGAGAGTGGCTGGTATCACGGGCATCCAGATCGAGGTACTGAACCACACCCTGCCGTTGCGCGACATCAGCATTGCGAGGCGCCTGTCGTGGGCTGCGAAAAGGGAGACCACGCGAACAGAGGATGTTGCATACTCTCTGTTTGGCATTCTCGAAGTCAACATGCCGCTTCTCTATGGCGAAGGTGCCAAAGCCTTTCTCAGGCTACAGGAGGAGCTCATTCGGCAATCGACTGATCAGTCCATCTTTGCATGGGATTCGCCTGCGGGGTTTGTCGAGTCCCGGGAACTGCTCCTTGCACCTTCACCTCGATGCTTCGCCAATGGCAGCAGTGTACGCCGTCGACGAGGGACCGCAATCGAATCCGCCTTCCACATCAGCAACAAGGGCCTCGAGATAACACTCCCGATCGTGCGATGGCGACCTGATCAGACGAGTCCCTACCTCACTCTTGGGATCTTGGACTGCAAGTACGAAGGGTCAGAAGTGCTCGCGCTTGTGATGAGCCAGCATCCCTTCAATCTACAAGGCGGTTCGCCAGCAATTGAGCTTTACGTTTCGGGGCTTGAGAGGGATATCGGCCATTCTACGCAGTACTCCCGGGTCCTGCCACTGAACAAAGAAGACATCAAAGACGCAAAGTCGACACTCTTGACGATCACGAAGGACCTGTAAGCATACCGCACCATTTCAAACTGTGACCCGTGGCTAACCCGATCACTCATCGCCGTCTAGACGAAGTCAGACGTACATCCAAACCTTTGATACGAATGCCAGCAGCTGGTTTCCTGTCAGGTTCATGGGCAATGAGCCAAGTCTAACGCTGCAAGACGTATACCCAGAGCACTCCTGGTCCGAAGGAACACGAACCATGCGACTTATCCGACCAACACGACGCCCGCGGCGGCATTGCGGTCAACGTTAAGGACGGCAGAATGGTGCTCGTCACATTCGGCATGTACCGCACGTCAACCATGCCGGCGGCAAAACGTTCAGTGGGCCGCTTGGCCTACTTCGACCCAGAGTGTCCGATGGAGCCTCACGTCATCTCTTTGACGCGTGATACTTCACGAGGGCCATCTGACATGGCCACCCTGCCGCTCAATGACCATGAGCAGCTCGTAGCTCAGCTGTGGCGTGGCGCGCTCACGATCTCCCTCGAACAGATCGCGGACGATCACATCTCCTTGACTTCCTCATCCCAGACATTCTCGCCGCCGGCTTCACCAGTAGCGTCGATCCGACGGACCAGCTTCCTAGCCTCACAGAGGCGGGATTCACTGTTGCCAGACGGCCGCCCAGGCTCGAGTGGTCGGGCTGCTCCACGGCTCTTTCTACCAGTCGAGAAGTCCAACCCTGTTCACCGATCGAAGTGGTGCTCCCACT